GGGCGGGACGGGACGACGGCTGGTGGCAGCATCACCCGAGGGGGGGGGGACGTCAGCACGACGGCGGCGGCAGCGGCGGCGTGCCCTTGTTCTGCTTCCCTTCTTCTGGGCACACCCCTGGTTGCCCCTTTGAGCTGGCTCACGAGGCGGGTGACTCAGGACGAGGTTTTATCAGGCGCGTTTGAGCCCGGCACCCCGACCCCCCGCAGGCGCGCAGCTGGCGGCCGCGCACCGCCAGGTGTCCGGTTACCACGAGCGCTTCCGCGCCGCCCTCAGCCCCGCCAACGCGCAGCAGGTGCTGCTGCTGCTGCGCGTCGCCGCGGCGCTGCTGGCGCGCCTGGCGGGGCGGCGGCCACGGGATGCGGCGCCGGCGGGCGGGGCGGGGCCCGAAGAGGCGGCGGCGGCGGCGGGCGCCGCAGACACGTGCGCGGTGCGCGTGAACGAGCTGCTGTTTGACCTTGGCCTCGACAACATCAACCTCTTCCAGCTGCTGCGGTGGGTGAAGGAGACCAAGTTCTCTTTCAAGGTGCGGGTTTTGGAGCCCGGGGTGGGGGTCAGGGGGCAGGCGGGGGCGGCTCGCAGGGTGTGGCCGGGCTAAAAACACGTGTATGGGGCGGCGCCGGTCGAGTGCTCAGCCATGCGTCGCATCTGTGAGAGGCTGCAGGTTTCCCACATGGTGTCATGGGCTCCGCGCCTGTGAAAATGGGCATTGCATATTATGAGTGCAGCTGCCTGATGCTCCCCGCCCTGCACCACCCTGCGCCGTGGGCTGATCTAGGTCTGCGGCTACGCCGCGGCCGCCGCAGTCAAGGCGGGCGACGTGCAGCCGCGCGGCGGCAGGGAGAGCGGCGGGCCCGGCGGCGCCGCGGCGGCCGGCGGTCTGTCGGCGATGCACGCGCTGGGGTCGTTTCTGGGGGCCCTCACAAACACAGACGCAGACGGCCGCATCATCATCGAGCCAGCCGCCGCCCCCGACGACGGCAGCTCGGACGGCGCCGCCGAGGCGGCGCCTCGCGGCGGCCGCCTGCGCTTCGTGCTGCTCAACGCCGCGCGCCACTTCGGCCGCCTGCTGTCCTGCGCGCACGCGGTCGTGCTCGCGTCGGGCACGCTGGCGCCCGTCTCGAGCTTAAAGGCGCAGCTCTTCCCTCACGAGCCCCCCGGCCGCGTCCGCCACTTCGAGTGCGGCCACGTCGTGCCGCGCGCGCAGCTGCTCGCCGTCTCCGTCGGTCGTGGCCCCTCCGGGCGCCCGCTCGACTTCCGGCACGCGGCGCGCGGCGCGGACGGCGCGGCGGACGAGGCGGGGGCGCTGCTGCTAAACCTGGCAGCTGTCGTGCCTGCAGGCTGCGTCGTTTTCGCGCCCAGCTTCTCATACCTGGCCCAGCTGACCGACAGGTGGCGCGCCACCGGCCTGCTGGCGCGCCTTGAGGCGCGCAAGACGGTGTTTGTGGAGCCGCGGGGCGCGGCGGACCTGGAGGGGGTGCTCAGGCGCTACGCCGACGCTGCGCTCGGC